CATGCAAAGCTACTCTAGCTGAAGAATATAACTATAGAAGTGGAATCTTTTAATATATGTCGACTTTTATTTAGCATCATAAGGTCACTATTAGTGGTGCATCTCTAGTTTTAAATAGTATCATGCAGCTATTTCATGGTAATTTGGATGTTGACTAGAGCATTTCTATCTCTGATTCTAAATGAAAAAATATATATATTGATTTAAGCTGCCATATGGAGAAACTTGATTATACCCAGTGGATTTTTTTCTCTCTTTTTGAGGTTACACAAAGTGGATGTAACACTTCAGCGTGTTGCTCTGTTATCCTGAGGGCGCTGCTTCACGGCTGGAAGTTCAAGACCTAAAAGATCCTGTGAAATGCCAAACTGAAACACAGCCGCCAAGATCTGGCTCTGAGAGGAAAGGCGGTGGTTTTTAAAAGAGTCTCTGGAGTGAGTTCAGCCACTAATGTTCTATCAAATGAGACCTTCAGGACTACAACAAGAAAAGGGGAAAAAAAACGTAAATGAGAGCAGGCATGACATTTGCTTCACACGAGGGGGTTCTCAGCAGAACCTAAAGCACCATAAATTATCCACTTGTGTTTTCTGGAAAGTGCATGCAGGGGGATTGCACTTCCTCTGCAAACCACAGGACAAGTGCAAATACGGCTGAGTAAATTTACCGCTTGGCATCAGTAAATCATTTCTGCAGGTGATGAACAGTCTGTGCCACAAGATGGAGAGAAGTGGAGAAGTGGGGGGAAGATGAAGGGGGGGGGGGGGGGGGGGGGGGGGGGGGGGGGTATTAACACAAGAGAAAACAAGACGGGCAATGACGATGAAAACGGAAGCAGCGTGTGAAGGCACAACTCCAATTCAATTTGGTCTGATTTAATCTCATTCTGATGGCATTTTAACCTTTTGGACCAACAGTGGCAAATCAAGTCACGTCAACCTAGTTCTCAGCAGTTAGAGGGAAACACAGAGGCTTTACTGCCATGACAAAATGAAGCGTGGATTTTTAGCCAAAATCCTCCTTGCAAACATACATAACAGAAAAACCACCCCAAGGCTCAAAGGCCACCTCGACAAAATTCTAATCATTGCATGTCACAGAAAACACTCATCAAAAATCATCAAAAAAACAGTAGAAAGTAGAAAGATCTTCCTTTTCAATTCCCTCTTCAGACGATTGACACACACAATAACAAGAAGTTCTATAGCGGAAAAACATGTTCTACTGTTTATCTTAAGGCTACTGGCGAAACCTGGCCGTGTCTCTCTTTAAGTGCTTTAAATATAACGTCATCACATCAACAGGACGAGTCATTATTTTTCAGCCATCTCCGTTTTGTCACACTGCTGGTATGCCCGTCATTGTTGCACACAAGCAAAAATCACAGTTGTAGCTCTACAGTAGATAGCTGGATATGTTGAACAGCTCAAGGTTTGACTTTAGACTTTAAATGTAAACACAGCTGAATGAATGAGGCAAGTGGATCAAGTCAGCTGAGTTGATTCAGACCTGCCTAGTCTATATTCGTCCAGCTTTAAATACAACCTGCCATTGGAGCAATACAAACATGTAATCTGGAGCCGCCACTAGACCCATAACACTGGAATGAAAACAAATAGAGAAAGAAAAATGGAGAGAGAAATGAGGAAAGCAAAAAAAGAAAAAAAAGTATATACAGCTGGTTGCTGTAGTTGAATGAAAAAGTGCAAACTGAGAAAGAAGGAAGACAGAAATGGAGATAAGCCTGTGTCCAGCTGGTGCCACACACACACACTTCTTATTGTTGTTACGGCTGAATATGAATAAAGAAGCACTGAGACTAACGGTCTTCGTGTACGGGCTGCAAACACTATATAAGCCAAAGGGAACCACCTGTCACTGCTGACTGAAAGCTATTTGGCTCAAATTCAAAACCGCATAAAGCAGGAATACCATACAGACATACCACTGTAGCACACAGGCAAAGCTACAAGTACATACACACACAGTTAGATGCAGTTGCAAATAATAGTGAAGGGTAACCTGCGATGTTCAGATGTTAAATAATAAAAATTATTACAAGTGGAAAAAATATGTCTTTTCAAGATTGATACTAAAAAGTATTTGGTGTAAAAATGTCCACATGAGAAAAATAGCTGAAAATTATAATTAAGCATTTATAGACATGTTGAAAATACATGTCAACGTGGTAGATTCCTTTAGTTTGGAAAGTTTAGTTTTGCTTGCACTGGTGTTATAATGTCAGGCAGCTCTCTCACCGACCTCCTCTGCCATTAATTCAGTAATCTAAATCAGTGCGTCTGTATCAGCAGTGAAGTTAGAGACATAGCACAAAAAGGCCTGAGCCATTCGGCTCTGGATCAAGAACGCCCTGCAGCAAACTGTCTGCATTTAAGGGCCCCGTTTTAAGTAGACAGTCATTTTCTCTCCTACAGCTTACTTGCGGTACTCCCGCTCTCTCTCTGACACACACATGATACCAGCAGAGGATCAAGTGGAAACCTGGATCAGGAGCAGCGATACTGCCCTTCCAGACATCTGGCACAAAATACGGCACGCCAAGAAAACCACTCTGAGCATGTGCAGAATGTAGATCAAATTTAAAGTTTAAAAAAAAAAAAAGTACGGGTCAAACCACCAAGCTGTTACTACCCAGAGTTGATCACGCACATAGACACTTCCTGGATTGTACACAATCACTCTCCTTCTCTAGAAGGTTGTTTTGCATCTGCATCATTCATTGCATGTGTAACGTCTAACTTTATCCTGTCCCCAGCCTTATCATTTGTCTGTGCCTGCTGATTTGTCACAGCCTGCTGCTGTGCATACTCTTTAATAAGTGTATTTGTTACTTTAAAGTAATCCCAAGTACAAATGCATACTGACACATGTACACACCTTGCACCTGCGTCCCCTCGTAAACAGTGTGAAACATTTCAGCTAAAGACCAGCCTTGAGTCAATATCGCAAAGTAAATAACGCCAGTGTGCAGGCTGAAAGGCCCTGTTGTAAAATCTCCACACAGAGTGATGCAACTGTTCAAAGGGCACAATACAAATAGCAAGATAGGACAACAGTGTGTTGTCTTTACAAGAACTTGCGTTTTCTCAATAAGGACGGTTGGGATATTTTTGCAAACAAATTTTATGCTCAAAAATCCACAAAATAATATATGCGTGCAAAATAGAGCTAAAAAAAGACTACTTCTTTCTGTGATTCTGAACTTTTTGAATGTTTCCTTGTGTTGCACAATCTTCACCCTACATTTTGAAGTTGGCGCCAACAATAAAATGCAGCACAGATAAGATATCACGGTGCTTTACCTTTCCAGAACAATGAACGATTATTTTAAATAATAAAATAAAAATAAAAATCGAGTGTGCGATTGCCAGGAGGCTCAAACATCTAACTGCACCATAAAACAGTAACTCTTAAGAATTCAGACCTCCAAGGAAAGGAAATCGGATAACATTAGTTGTCTTTGCTAAGATTTTTGTCAAGGAGTTGTTTACTTTAAAAAACCTGACCTAACATGAGTGCTCTTAGTGGGAGGGCACTTGAAGAGATTCAACGGTAAGTTTGAAAGAGGGTGTGGCAGCTTGTGGTTATATTAAAGCTTGAGCAAAGCCAGCTGCTGACTGCTGTGATTCTTTAGTCGGTGTCATAATACCAAAGGAAACATGAACGCACAAGCACATGTGATGCATTCACTGCTGTAACTTATTTTGAAACCCCTTGATTAGGGAATAATAACTGACACAAAGGAGAAAAAAGGGAACCGATTACACAAACATTTAGTCAGTGAGGTGACACAAGTTCTCCATTAAATTGGAGGAAAAAAAACATTACTCTTTTTTGGCAAAGTATTAGACATTTAATACATCTGTTTATCTTGTTCACAGTTGTGGGAGGCAAGAGGAAGTTCCAGCAAGCACCAAACAGGTAAAACAGACAGCTCATTTATCAGGGGGCACAGAAATATGAATAGGCTGACATCTACTTTCATGTTTATAGTTGGAGACTAATAGCCAATGCATTCAAGAAATCTGAAAACGTGGAATATAAAGAACAATGCAGATATGAGCAGGGCATATAAATCCCACAAAGATAGGCTTTTTTGCCAGTCGGTAGATTCTCCAATCCTGCAGCTTAAAGCTTCCTCGACTACAAACATTGTTTGTAACCATGATGCTCCATAATCAGGCCCATCAGCAAGTTAGCAACCCGAAATGTATTATCCGTTTCAAAAATATCCGTCAATGGGCTGCTTACCACATTTGCCCTGCACTGTGTAAAAGGAGGATTCAGCCACTTAAGGTGTTGGTTGATACAGTTGAACTGCTTGGAAAACACTCAAGCTCTGTACAAGAAGGGCCAATGTTGGCTCCATCTTCTGTGCAGGCTGAGGTCTTCTGGGGTGTGCAGGTCCTTTACGACACAGCTATGGCTTCTGCAGTCTTTTATCTAGTTGTCTGCCAAGTAGGTGGCAACATGAAGCAGGACCAGAAACGACTCAATAAACTGGTGAATAAGGCCGGCTCTGTTTCCTCGACTCCACAGAGGTTATTTGTGAGACAAGGATGTTACCCGAGCTAATAACCTTCACGGACAACACCACCTATCACCTGTATGAGACAGTGGAGGCTGCACACTACAATACCCTATATAAGATAAATACCTAATAAAAGAAAATATTCAGTGTATCTATTATTAGTCACACTGCACTTTTTGTACATACAAAAAAACTCTGTGACATATCTTTTGTGTTTTAACATATACACTTCCTCGGAGTGGGATTAATAAGCTCTGTCTATCCATCTAGAGGTTGCTCCCCTTTAGGCAGTATCCCCCAGTAGGCAAATGTACACTAGTGATGTCTTTAAAACCTCAACGTGTTAAAAATTGTTTGCTCAGTCTCTAAATTTGCACCAAGGGGTCACTAACATTGACATTTACGTGTTTAAAAAGAAACAAAATGATGTGTTTTTCTCTTAACTTACGGGGCTCTGTAGTATCTGTGTGACACGTTTCTTCTGCTCCAAAACGTTGAAGTCCTGTCGGAGGTCGGGAGACATGTTCCTGGCCCTGATGTACTCCGGATCATTCACGTCGACACGGTCGAAGTAGCGCTCCTTAGTACCTCCACCAGGCGGAGGAGGGGTGGTCACCACCCCCTGATGGCTGTCCGCACTCATGCCTGTTTCACCTCACTTGCTTGCTCTACAGCTGCCACTCTGACTGTCACCTGAAAAGCAGAAAGGTTGACATGTTACATGACACATATGAAGCAATTTTAAAAAAAAAAAGGCAAGCAAGGAGAGTTTAACATTTAAATTAAAAGAATATTTGTTCAGGGTGTTTGTGGTTTTTATGCACGTAAAATGAAGGGTGGTAATATACCAGGAAAAGGTGTAGCATGCAAATAAAAAGGGCATCAAGATCTAAGTCAGATTAGCCTGTAAGGAAAAATGCAAAAGCTGAAATGTGCCATGTATCGATCACAGGATTTATACTTTTGTCGCTCTTAAACATGAATATTTTTCAATGAAAGTTAGTTGAATGCCAACAAACAGTCATGTTTAAAATTAGCTAAAGGCACGTAGCATAAACGAGACCAATGATGAGTAAGAAAATGGCATGCCTACCACCTCTCTTTTATCAGATGAAAACACACGGAGGTGTATCATAAACAGGAAAAGGAAGTCCCTGTTATCTCTATACCATAGAGGTGCTACTCTTCGGTTTGATGGAAATAAAAGTTCTATCCTGCAGTTCATGTCATTCGCTTGCTGAGTCACGACTACATGTAGGTCTTGGTTAGGTCACACTGACAGATCAACTAACAAAGCATACAAATGGGGGCGGGAGGAATTTTGTTTTGACATCCAAGACCTTGACTGCTGAGGTGGTTTACTCCCACTGTTCATTCTCAGGTCAACTGGCATGACAAGCATTTTGCAGGATGCAGGAATTGGTAAATGCAACAATAGAAAATGACTTCAGCGCTTTGCTTTCAGGCCAAGAGTCAAAGCCAATAAAGTCAAAACAAAAATACTAATACAAAAGATTAAAAAACAAAATGCAAGCAGAGCTTTAAAATAAATAAACACTGCATCTTCCAGGAGCCCTTGTTAGCATACGCAGCTGCAGTTACAGTGCCAAATAGTAAGATGCTGGTGTATCATGAAGAGGCGGAGCTTATGGGATGGCTACCAGATGGTGTCTTGGCTTGGACAACAGAGGAATGACAGCAAAAAAAAAAAGTTCAAGGAAATAGATCCGAAGTTTTTTTTTTTTTTTTTTTTTTTTTTAAATGCAGTAGTCATCTGACAGCACCAGAATTAAAATGTATAGGTTCCTGTGCCAGCACCGAGTCCTCCTGTATTTCAATTCAGCGTTGTCATCTTAGCTTAACACTATAAGAAACAGCAGGGTTTGAGCGGTGATTTAGATTGACACATGCCACTAAGCCACTCATTCAGGTCAAACGCCAATTAAAACTGTGGTTGAGATTAGACAAGAGTCACACACAAAACAAAGTTTAACGAACTCCTCACACATGGATGTCAAATTAACCAATATTTTCCTTACTCATCACTCACATTGGCGTGTGACTGATTTATGGTTTTTCTCTCTCTCTTCAGGAAGAAGCCTGAACCCCGAGGCTGAAATAAAAAACACTCCATTTGTGTGTTTACTCAAATATCCATTAAACATCAGTATTTCCTATATGTCTTTACCTCTAAGAATCCAGGACTCAGGAAACCACTCTTTGTCTGCCTGATCTCCCTGCCATAGCTCTGATTTATACTATAAAAACAAATAAAAGCCTCCCAAAAAGTAAAATCCTCTTTAACTGAAGGCAGCTGGGCAGCACAGAGTTATGTAACATGATATTGAATTCATCCTCCTGCCCGCACTGTTTTGCTTGCTGAACAACTTTACACAGGCCTGATCAACAAAAGCCCAAGACAAAAGGTTTTGAGAGCAGGACTTTGATATAAAGACTTGTATAAAGATGCATTTGCTGTGCTGTCCTGTTTCGTGCTTTATATCCACAGCTTTTCCTATATCTTCGACTGCAGGTATTCTGAGGAATACCACGTGGGAGAAACTTGACAGATGTGTAAATAAGAAATGCATTTAAGGACTGTGTGATTGACAGTAGAAGCTCACGCATAAAGTTTGCTGACTGGAATCTCTGCATGGCTGAATGCAACAGCTGTAGTTTCACCAAAATAAAACGACTCCCCCAACCCCCCACTCACACTCACATGCCTGAATACACCACCCCATCCCTGCTCTGTCACAACTTCAGCAGTCCCCAGCATGAACTTCCACCACCCCACCCCCACCTCCCCCAGTCTCTGTCAATAGATCATTGTCCTCATCTCGAATCATCTCAGTCTGTTCAGATCCAGAGGAATCGACGTTTTTGGAGCAGTGGGGGTGGTTGTGTGTGTGTGTGTGTGTGTGTGTGTGTGCGCATTTGAGAGAATGCACAATTAATCCGAGTAAGAATGAAACCCGATCCTCACATTACACCAGCAACATTTATAATCTTAATTTCATGCTCGATGACAGATGCTTACACTTTTTGAATGCAGCCCACTGAAGATGCCAGTTTATACTGAGCTTTGTTCAGTGAAAGACTGGAATTTACAAAGGCAATGGCCATTAAAGTGTGGCATTGCGTGATAACGCTATTATTGCAGTCGATGTAAACTTCACAATTCTATGGCTGATAAATGAGGTGGGCTGTGTTTACTGATGTGCACTAGACTGTGACTGCAGCACCCGAGGTCAGCACAACCTCAAGACCTTTAGTGACCCTTCCTCTTTTTCCTCCTTTTCCTCCCATCTGCACGTTTAGAAGCACCAACAGACAACATGTTTTCATCTGAGGGTAAGCTGTCCATGAAAAAGTTCCCATTTATAAAACAGTGCCACGAATCACTGCTACGAACCACAGAATGCTCAATGTGACTTTAGTTAGTTAGATAACAAATGCAGCGAGTTAAAATTGAGCTTGGCCTTAACTATCAGGTAAGAATAAGAGGTCAGGCATAAAAACCAACTGTACAATACAACTGTATTTAATAAGTTATTTCATGTATAAAATGACAGAAAGTAACTTAAAGTGCTAAAAGAATGACTTGAAATATCTTATTCGGCCAAAATACATCAAAGCAACTCTTTACAGTTCGTTACATCCTAATGTAAAATCTTATTTATGTGTAGTATGAAAATATTTGCTGCAGAGAAGAGATAGACGAGAAAAAAGGACAATTAAGGATGCGTACATGTTTGTGACTTTTCGCTGCAGTTCAACTGACCACTTCCTTGTATTTGAATTGGTTCTGTGGACAGCCTCCATTAGTGGAACTCGATGTTTATCTCTAAGACAGAGGACTCATCCATTACACACTAATACTTCTGACATTTGGAAATGGAGAGCAAGTGCCTGAGACAAGGCATAACTCTCCATCTTCATCTGATGACAGCTGGCTAATCTAGAAGCCTACACAGACCTCTCTCCAGTCCTTTAACTCTGCTCTGTTTCACTTTTATCCATCTCACTCTGATGTTTCGTCGTATACAATACGCAAACTTGCTAGAAAGGCAGGAGTAAAGCAAGAAGCCATGAGTAAACATATGTAGTCACAAAAACTCCCTAAAATGCCGAGTGACACTGCCCGGGCTCTCCACTCACACACATGCATGCAGCTACTGTCTTTATCGTGCTGGGGCAGATGGACTTCAAAAGCAAGCCTGCCTACATCTCTGCCACCTCTAAAAATAGACAAACTGCCTTTTGGGCTGTGTTACAACCCTAATAACAACAATACCAGGAAAGAATCTGTGCGCCGCTAATTATATCCCCGAGTGCTGCAAAAAGCAGCGCAAACACACATGCACACAGTGACCTGTAGCGTAAACTTTGCTAATGCACACACCCAAACACACAGAGACAAGTAGGTGCGTTCCCTGTCCAAACACGCCTGCGTGAGAGCTCTAGCAGTGAAACTGAAGGACAATGTTTGAGCCAAAAGCTCAGCAGCTTACATGATCCTCCAGCGGCTTTGCTATGAGATGAGGAAAGCTCCTCTTGAATCCATCACTGTGCCAGCAGCAAGCGTTACCCATGACACAGGGTAATGCCTGGCTATCAGTTTAAGCTGATGGTTTCTTATGAAATCTTGATTTAGAGCAACGACTAGTGACTGTGAATGCATTTTAACTTGCAAATATATTCAGTCTAATATGTTTCTCTCTATACTTCATCTGTAAGGATTCTAAAACACTCCCTGCTATCTTCCTTCACAGAGCTAATCTTCTCTGGTGCTCACACTCAGTGCACTATTATTGCCAGACGTGTTTACAGTGCAGAGGTCTATATGCCTGAGCGCCCTGGCAGCCACACTGACATGGAATTCCCCTAAAATTGCCAATCGTTTTTTTGGATAGTAACCTTTGGAGTCATGCCCCGGGTTCTAGTGGGAGCAGAAAACAGATCCCAAGTCGGATGAATGAAACAAAAACATCCGTCCATACAACAGAGGGAATACATACAAAATATGCAAACAGGTGTACTGACACAAGCAGCCGACACACAAATATAATGCAAGCACAACCAACCTTGTGTTTATTTCCTACGTGGTCAGTGAATGGGAGAGAATGGGGAGTAGTAGTAGGCAGCTGAGGCAAAACACATGTCTCTGTTTTTCACTGCTGCTTGGTGCCCGTGCACAAATTCCACCAGTGAGTCCCAGAAAGAAGCCGGGAGAGACGAGAGAGAAAGAGCGGGATACGAATAACCAGGCGGCGATCAGAAAACCAGTCTGTCCACGCGTCCCTGCAGATTTTCCATATAAATGCTCCTCGGTGAAGCTGCCAGCAGACAGCAGATTCTCCCAGATTCTTACAGTCTCCCCGTCTTGGCTGCTCCAGCGTTCATCAGATAGAGAAGTATCAACAGCTGTGAGTGTGTATGTGAGAGGATCTGTGTATGTGCGTGCCCTCAGTGAATGGGGGCGTGTGTTTGTGTGGAAAAGAAGCTAAAGCGACCACGTGATGCAAGCTTAATCCCCCGCCCACTGGCTAAAAAACACACACACACACACACACACACACACACACACACACACAAAATCAGGCAAAGGCATACATACAGGCTTTTTGACCAATCAGAGCTCAGGCTCACACACTAATCACACCTCCCCTCCTCCACTGCCTTCTCTCTCCCTCTCTCTCTCTCCATCTAGTCTAGCCTTTTTCTTCCTCTCTTTTTTTCTTTGATCCATTCACATCCCTCACATTCCACTAGCTGCTCTCGCTCGCTTTCTTTTTATGTCTCTCATTCACACCCACTGCTGTCCTTCCCCCCTCGCTGGGCGACTGTACTAAAGGTCAGTGTTTATTAGTTTGGCTGGAAGCAGCATAACTGCAGCCGCACAACCTGCTGCAGCAGAAACTGCTCGGCTTTCACTGTCACTTCTGCCCCATTGAATCAATGCTATCTGGCTCTCTGATAAAATCAAATACCAACAGCCTTACAAAAGAACATTGTTAAAAAGTATCATTTAATGCCATAATTCAGTCACCCGTCTGTCAATACATCTGTCACATGACAGCTCTCTGCAAGTCTGTGGCCCTACTCACTTCGCCTATACATTTTTCTCATACTTGTTGCTGTTCATTGTATCTCTAAAGCCATTTTTGAAGCCATGACGACATCTTGTATTTCTACACTCCCTAAACTTGCTCAAAAGCACTCAAAGCATTTTCTCTTTCTTCACTCTATGCTGGTGAGGAATATGAAAAATGTGTCCTCTGGTTTTCCGTCTCTCTTTATCACCAAAGCTGTTTTTCATGCATGAACTCCAAACAATGTGACGAAAATCAGGTTAGGACGCTGTGAAAGGTTGTACACTACATCAAATAGTGTGTTTTGAGTTTTAAAAAGTGGGTGCTGTGTGCACTAAGAATGCAAAAGGAAGTTCACAATACACCCATACACTTTTTACGAATTCATCAACTCTTCCCTACATTATTCTCATATTAACACTGTCAGACATCTTGCAGACTCTTTAACAGACTCCAATCACACAAGCCTAGAGACCAGTTGGAGACTGAATGAGTTGGTGGGTGGTTGCTGAAAGTTAACTGCTGTCGTTACATGAAACTGGTCACAAAGAGGTATATGGTGGTCCACCCAAAAAAAACCCTAAAACCGAAAAAAACTAACATTTTTGTGATTTGTTTGGTCGCTATCAGACTGTCAGGGTTGCCTGTATTGTCCATTGAAGACACTGATATGATGGTTGGCCACAAAAGGTACAATTAACAAAATGGCAAACCAATACAGATTATGAACTTGAACAAAATATAAAATCTGGCCTTAAAACAACTGCTAAGCATTTGGACGAAAAGTGATTAGCAGAATGATAAACAGAAGTGTCTTAAAGGGAAAAGAAAACAGGCGAATGTTGCCTTTCGGTACACGTTAACAGGCTATACAGTGGGAACATTAGCACAGTCTCCAGCTGAAGGAGCATCTTCCGGCTCTGTACCTGTTGAGCAATCAAAGCAGGAAATAGACTAAGTCTCTACAACTGCAAAACACAGACCACAAACTCAACCCCCCAGTGGGGAATAAGCTAAGCCACAGATGACTTAACCACCAGAGAAACACATGGCACACATTTCCCCTTGCAATAGTTGAATACAGTCCAATTCACAAGCCATCCATGCAGAAGACAAACAAACAATCCAGGCAACCAAGATGTCAACAACTTGTCAGCCAGGTCATTCATTCTAATGTTTGCTTTTAAAAGATCAACGCTTCACATCAAATGCAAATTTACATATGGATGCTTTACACACACTCTGGATTTAACCTTGTAAGAATGTACATAGTGATGATGCAGATAAGCTGAGAGACTCAGCATCAGGTATAGTTAAATGAAGACATGCATTTGAAGCTAAAATCCTAAAATATGAATAATATAAAGAAACTATTTCTAGGCACTTTAGGTATTTAGACTGTGATCTTTCAACAACACTTTCAGGAAGTTGTCATTCAGAAGTACAACAGTGACCCAAAGCACACAACAGGGTCATAAGGACATCCTCAAGATAAGAACAAGACCTGCAACAGATGGCATGGCCCCCACAGAGCCCTGATCTTCACATCATCATTCAGGGATTACACGTGGAAACACTGAGACAGTCTTAATCTACAAGTCACTACACTTAACATGTTGTTAGCCAATTAATATAAACGAATGATAACATTAATTTGTTAAGCATCATAACCATTTTCATTCAACTTTCAACAAAGCAGCACAAGTTGCAAGGTACAGTAATGGCACGTCAAGTACCAGTTGAGTCCTGCAAAAGTGTGTCACTATCATAACAAAACTCACACATTACGCAAAATGTCATGAAATTTCCTTCATGAGAGCCCTAGATAACAAAGGGCTATAGTACACATTTGTTGTGATCGCCTGATGGCTTAGATGATATGGAGTTTTTGTTTAGGTTCCTGCAAGAGTAACGGTGATAACACTGCTGCAACAGACGCCAAGCCACACCCATTTGATATCTCACAGCTGGAAAATTGCCACAAGATAACTTTATCAAAGCCCTGCATTATTTTGTGACATCAGAATTTCCTCCTGAGTTTACATCCGACTTCATTTTAAAGCTCAATTTTTGCCTACAACACAAAGTGGTGAAAATGTGATGCTTGTTCAGGTCGCACAACAAATAAATGTGCTTAATAAAGAACCCAGGCAAGAATTTTAATGTGCTAAATGTATACAAGTTAATAATACTTGTGTGTAAGACTGTAATACATTCCAAGCATCTCAAGTTATTGTTGAATTTAAAACCAAAGGTGACATGTGCTATTTGTTATTTTCACTGGGGAATTACCCTTTACCGGGAAATCTACCATCATACGTACGTCATAGTCGCACACCTGTCTGAAATCCTACACCGTAACTTGATTTGCACCACCCTAGAAATGCAAGTACACACCGTGCTGACGTAGCCCGCAACAACTGTGATTGGCCTGTTCAGGACCCTTGATTCTTCCTGCGTATTTCCGACTACTTTAGGTCACAAAGGAATGAACAAAGAAGTAGAAAAATAAGTTTTTTTCTTTTTCTTCAGAAAAAAGAAAAAGAGGAAGAATAAAAAAAAAAAAAAAAAAGAAAAAAAAGAAAGAACCTGACCACAAAAAAGTGGGGATCCATGAGGGAAACAAGTCCCAGTGTTTTGTTTCCATTGGCTGGCACTGCATATAAAACAGTGGGAAAACACCACATAATAATGAACACTAATTGCACCAGCACAAGCATAAATGGAGTCAACAGCTTATCGTTCATTCCATCTTTTCAACAACAGTGGAGAGTATGAGATAGGTCAGACCTGGGCATGGTATGGCCTGTGAGCAACATCCGGCGCATTGATTGTACCAGACCATAAGGTCCATGGGAAAATAGGATTTAAACAAAAATCCTAATAAGTACATGTTATGCAAGCAACACTGCGAAAGCAAGGAGGAGTTTTCTTTAAAGATATAATGCATTTTGGGGTCAACTTGAATGAGAGCGTCAGAGGTCAAATGTGACATGATATTTGAATGCAAACTATATTGTGATATTTAGAATACCCATATATCAGTATCATTTGTTTGTATTGACAACATTTACAAAAGAAAGTTGAATTTTATGGACAGTTTTAACGAGAAGACATTTTATGAAGGAATCCCCATGTTTCATTCCCCACAGCCCCTTTTCCATTAGAAGAAGACAAATCCTTTTCTTGTCATTCAATACAAGTTATACATTCATAAAGAGTAAGTATTTTATAAGGCTGTCATGTTTCTGTATCATCCCTTTCCTATTTGACACAAAAAGATCAGCCTCTTTAATGATCTGTTATTTTTAACATTTTAAGAAAATTATATTGTACAATTTGTCATCCAATTAAAGAATATTTGCTACATCAGTTTGCCTTGCATTTTATCTGAAACATAAAAGCTTAAATATGCAGTAACTAAAGCTTTCAGACGGTGGTCGCATCAATTATTATTTGTCTGTGAGACACTCACAGGTACAAACGATATGATTTTAACTGACATGGAATATTTGAGACACCAGAGTTAAATTCTTCCACTGAGTATATAAAGTGTATGTAAATGTAAATTCTGTCATAGTTGTACCTTCAAAATAAAATGAGACGAGTCACATGAGCTTGTTTATTAGCTAAAGTTAGCATCGTTGGTGGCTAAAAGGACTAAGCACATGGCTGTGGTGTTGGCTGTCCCAGATACATCACATGCAGATGAAAAAATACAATTTACTCAGATAAAAGTCAAACATAAAATTAAGATTTTATGCATTTCCTTCGAACATTACAACTGTAGCCGCTACTGTTGCGGTGGCTAGGCAACAGGAACTGCCTAGCAACATAAACGAAAACAAACAACTTTCTTTTTTTTCTTTTTTTTTTTAAAAACCCGGCAATGACAGAAATGGCTAGGGGAAAAAAACAAAACAAAAACCCTTTGTTATAACGTTCATGTCGCATATTAATTACGTCGCTGGACGTGTTGCTATAACAACAACTTCACACATTAGGTAGTACTGGATGATAATAGAAAACCAATCAATCCGAGTTGGTACTTATGGAAAAGTGGCTTATATGTCTGTATTGTCAATTCAAACAATAGCAGTGACTAACATGTTTTTTTAAATACCTTTATATAGCATTATCATCACTTTGACTTTTCAGGTCAATCCAGTGCCCTTGAAGGAAAGGTCAGAGGTCAAATGGGAAATTATATTTTAAATCTTTATACATTTAGCATTTGTTAACAATACACACCAGAGGGTTTTCTCAAGGCCTTTTGTCAAATTTCGGTCAACAAATGATTAAGATGACTCTGGATCTTGGTGGATGCAAGCCAAATTTTAATGGATTGTTAACGTGATCCAACTCTACACCTCTACAAAGG